TGAGACTCCAACTCAAAAAAAAAAAAAAAAGAAAGGGATCTGTTTTAAGGCTGTTAACAACCTCTAAAGTATAATTTCCAGATACTAAGATCTTACTTCTATAACATACAACTGCTCATTCATCAAGCAGTACACAGTTTACAATACATGAAACCTTTTTTAAATTTTAGAGATGGAATATCACTATGTTGCCCAGCTGGTCACAAACTCCTGGGCCAGCGAGCCTCCCGCCTCAGTCTCCCACAGTGCTGGGATCATAGGCAGGAGCCACTGTGCCCAGCCGGTGACCCCTTTTTATGTTGGTCCCACATGTCATAAAAAGTCCAGGGTAGGCTGGGCTCGGTGGCTCAGCCTGTAATCCCACGCTTTGGGAGGCCGGGGTGAGTGAATTGCCTAAGCCCGTGGGTTCGAGACCCGCCTGGGCAACTTGGTGAGACCTCAACTCTACAATAAATCAAAAATCAGCCGGGTGTGGTAGCACGCGCCTGTAGTTTCAGCTACTTGGAAGGCTGAGGCAGAGGGATCGCCAGAGCCCAGCAGGTAAAGCGGCCACTGCACTCCAGTCTAGGTGACAGAGTGAGACTCCAACTCAAAAAAACCCAAAAAAACCCAAAAAAACTACCTTCTTTGAGTATTGGATAATGTGCTGTTCAGGGGTTAGTTAATTGTGTCTGCATTTCTCAAAGTTTTACATTAATTATGTATTATAAGGAGTCACAGTAGCATTGTTTTGATTAGTCTGAATTATGGCGAACTTGTTGCGTGAGCTTTCTGCATCTTTCCTTCTACACGTCACACAGTACCATGCGTCTTTAACTCATCATGACTGCGTGCAATTGTTAGGTTAATCGTTTTGAGTAGGTCTGAAAACATTCAAGCATTAAAATAAACATTAAAATAGATCTTGACTAATGATTTTAAAAACCCACTATTTTCAGTTGTATGGACTTAAATGACATCGCCTTACCCGCTTTTTTTTTTTTTTTTTTGAGTTGGAGTCTCACTCTGTCACCCAGACTGGAGTGCAGTGGTCGCTCCTGGCCACTGCAGCCTCGACCTGCTGGGCTCCGGCGATCCTTCCGCCTCAGCCTTCCAAGTAGCTGGAACTACAGGCGCGCGCGCTACCACGCCCGGCTAATTTTTTTATTTATTATAGAGATGAGGTCTTGCCAAGTTGCCCAGGCAGGTCTCGAACCCGCGGGCTCAGGCAATCCACTCACCTCAGCCTCCCAAAGGCGCGGGATTACAGGCTGAGCCACCCAGCCCGGATTGCCTTACCCATTTTTTGGTTTATTCTTTTATATAACCAAATTAAAATTTTGCAAAATTTATTTTGGAGATGGAGTCTCCAAAACAAAAACAAAAACAAAAAATTAGCCAGGGATGGTGACGAGTACCTGTAGTTCCAGCTACTTGGAAGGCAGAGGTGGAAGGATTGCCTGAGCCCAGCAGGTTGAGGCAGGGTGGTTGCCCAGGTGGTAGTATGTTGGTTATTCACAGACATAGTCCCTGCTCATTGCAGCTTCAAACTCCTGGGCTCAAGTGATCCTCCTGCCTCAGCCTCCTCGGTAGCTGGGACTACAGGTGTGTGCCACCATGCCCGGCTGCATAACCCAATTTGAACCCAGTATAAATAAAACTAAATTTTATGTTGGATCACCATTCAGCCCATTGATGGAGCACAAAATCTCAAGTTATCTTTTGAGTTCAAATGTCAAATAAATGAATGAACCATCTAATTCACTCGGTGAGAATATATAAGGTGACAGGAAATTAAAAAGTGACTTTTCTATTAGGATTATTAGCAAACCTTCCTCAAATGATGTGAAAGCATTATAGGCTATAAATGTAGAAGGTAAGCTCAAATGAGACGAGACAGTGAATCTGTTTTTGCTTGTTTGTTTGTTTTCTGAATCAGGGTCTTTCTCTGGAGAGTACAGGCTGGAATACAGTATCGCGATCACAGCTAACAGCAGCCTCTACCTCCCAGGCTCAGGCAATCCTTCTGTCTCAGTCTCCCAAGTAGCTGGAACTACAGGTGTGCGCTACTATGCCTGGCTAATTTTCTGTAGAGACAAATTATGGCTATGTTGCCCAAGCTGGTCTCAAACTCCTGGGCTCAAGCGATCTTTTTGCCTCAGCCTCCCAAAGTGCTGGGATTATAGGAGTGAGCCAGCCACCATGCCTGGCCTAGTATCACCTTCTTCTTTTTTTTTGTGTATGCACCAACTTGCCGTCCCTAAGATGAAACTTACAAAACAGCTCAGAGCCCGGCATGGTGGCTCAAGCCTATAATCCTAGCACTTTGGGAGGCCAAGGTGAGAGGACAGCCTGAGTCCAGGAGTTCAAGACCAGCCTGGGCAACTAGGAGAGACCTCATCTCTACAATAAATCAAGAAATTAGCCAGGCATGGTAGCGTGTGTCTGTAGTTCCAGCTACTTGGAAGGCTGAGGCGGAAGGATCACCTGAGCCCAGCAGGTTGAGGCTGTGGTGGCCATGAATGTGCCACCGCACTCCAGCCTGGGCAATGAGTGAGACTCCAACTCAAAACAAAAACAAACAAAATAGCTCAGAAATCTGGGAATCCTTGGATCTTAACATATTAAAAAAAGAAATCTGGGACTTGGCAGAGGGAGTCTCCTGCAGATCCTTTTCAAGGGAGCGGGTGGGAGACATGCCACATTTCTTTTCCTCATTTATACAAAAAACTCACCTCTTTACTATAAAAGAGATAACCAAATGTATTTTGCTCCCAAAACTCGTGTAAAACCTACTTGGCCAGGCGCAGTTCCTCACACCTATAATCCCAGCACTTTGGGAGATCGAGGTGGGAGGATCATTTGAGCCCAGGAGTTTGAGACTAGCCTGGGCAACATAGCAAGATCCCTGTTTCTCTAAAAAATAAAAAAAAAGTTAAAATGAAAAAAAAAAGAATAAAACCTACTTGCAAAAAGGACTCTCACAGACTATAACAAAGCAATTCAGTAGACTATCTAAAATAAAACATACTGCTAAAATAGTATCTTTTCAATCTCTCCCGTCTCTCCAAGCTGAACTTGAATTTTTCGGGAAGTTGTGCTGACCCCTCTACCTTTGATCCATCTCCTTTTGAACTTCCTTGTTTAGTTCATCGACTTTCTGCTGCAGCTTTTTTCTTCTCTGTTCAGGAGGGAGGTTGCTGAAGTCCTCTGGCGTCGCACCCTGCAGACACAGACAAGTTAGCTGCCAGCAAGCCTCAGGTGCTTCTTCCAGAAGACCCCAGCAGAGCCCACAGACCCGGGAGACCAGATGTCTATGTATGGCTTCGTGAAGTGAATCGAGCTTGTTCCCACGACACCCAGTGGAGATGCAGAAAGTCAACGCATGCAAACTGCAGAAGGCCCACAAACCATTCCAGATGCGTGGGCTAAGATGCCTCCGGGAAGGCAAGAAGCGAGACGATGGGAAAGAGAGAGGAAGAAACACTTCTGATCCCAGTGAGAATCCGTGAGCAACATTAGGGTTGCTCTACAATGAGCTCATTTCCCTACAATGAGCTCCCACCAGTGTCTGGGTCAACACAAAGTTTTAAGGAAATGTATGTTACATAAACCCCATCAAGGGCGTCACGGCTGGGAGATGCTTTTTTCTCTAGTCTGAGGATTCCTTCCTGTCTCTTCACATGAGACGGAGGCCAAAAGTTTCCATCCCTGTAAAGGGACAGATGAGACATTGCATTCCACAGAGAATGTGGGCAAAAGGAATGTTTTTAAATGTCACATCTGTCACCCCAGCACTTTGGGAGGCCGAGGTGGGAGGATCGCTTGACCCCAGGAGGTCTAGACCAGCGTAGGCAACATAGCGAGACTTTGTCTCTACAGAAAAACTAAAAAAAATAAAATAAAAATTAGTCAGGTGTGGTGGCACACAACTGTCATCCCAGCTACTTGGAGGCTGAGGCGGAAGGATCGCCTGAGCTCAGGAGATCGAGGCTGGGGTGATTGTGCCACAGCACTCCAGCCTGGGCGATAGAATGAGACCCTGACTCGAAAAATAAAAATCACAAAAATGAAAAAAAAAAGGGGGGGATCCCTGACCCCCTCAACCCCATGCAGTTTCCTCTGCTGCCTCTAAAATACTGGTCACTTCTTTCAGGGTAGTCTCTGAGAATTGACAGAATGTCTTCCCTGACCTCAAAATCAACTTCCCACAGTGTTCGAAACTGATTGCCGCTGTCAAAAGAGGTACATTTTGATATCTTGATTCCCTTTTCCAAGGCAATTGCTCTGTGTATACACTGCCAGGAGAAGGAATCAACAGAACATTTCCAGACTTATTTTTTTGAGTTGGAGTCTCACTCTGTCACCCAGACTGGAGTGCAGTGGCATGCTCCCAGTCACCACAGCCTCAACCTGCTGGGCTCCAGTGATCCTTCCGCCTCAGCCTTCTAAGTAGCCAGAACTACAGGCGCATGCTACCACGCCCAGCTAGTTTTTGATTTATTGTAGAGACGAGGTCTCGCCAAGTTGCCCAGGCAGGTCTTGAACCCACAGACTTAGGCAATCCACTCGCCTCGGCCTCCCAAAGTGCTGAGATTACAGGCTGAGCCACCGAGCCAGGCCTTTTTTTTTTTTTTAAACCCCGGGTCTCACTCTGTTGCCAGGCTGGAGTGCAGTAGCACAATAACAGCTCACCGCAGCCTCAACTTCCTGGGCTCAGGCGATCCTCCCACCTCAGCCTCCTGAGTAGCTGAGACTACAGGTGATGAGCGTCATCATGCCCGACTAATTTTTTTTTTTCTAAGTAGAGACAGGGCCTCACTATGTTGCCCAGGTTGGTCTCGAACTCCTGGGCTCAAGCGAGCCTCCCACCTCGCTCGGCCTCCCAAAATGCTGGGATTATAGGTGTGAGCCACTGCACCCAGCCTCATGTCCAGACTGACATCTGCTTACTTGTTAGAAAGCTGGGCTGAGTCCTGCTGTCAAGTGCTTTTACTTAAGTGAGGCTGTTTTCATCAAGAAAGAGAAATTTATCCAAATAACCAGGGATAAGCCAGGGAAATTAGAAAAGAGATGTTTATTTTAAAACCTCAATTCTTTTTATTCGAGGGCAAGATTGCCTTGGGGCTGGGTAGAAAGAAGGGGCCCCGTGAATGTAATTCCAGAATCGAGTTGAAGTTGCCAAGTAGCTCACATGGGGGCTTGTGACTGAGTTCCTAGGCTGATTATGATACAATGCCAGGCGGCTGTGTGGGGATGTGTCTGACATGGCAAACAGCTGACCACAAAGGCCATGCTAAGACCTCTCAGCTGACGTTTTCGAAGACTCTCTCGGAAGACACGCCCTTAGCTTTTGCTCTCTAGTGTGTGCATGTGAGTGGACAGATATAGGAAGTGTAAAGGGAAACCATTACGGAAGTGACCCTGCCTAATACCAAGCCACGGAAGCTTAACTGGGCTCTAAAACTAAGGAGGATTTTTTTTTTTTTTGAGTCAGGGTCTCACTCTGTCACCCAGGCTGGAGTGCAGTGACATGATCATGGCTCACCACAGTCTCGATCACCCAGACTCAAGTGATCTTCCTGCTTCGGCCTCCCAAAGTGCTGAGATTACAAGCATGAGCCACCACACCCAGAATGTTGCTGTTTTAAACCTAAGACATCTTTACGTAACTCTTTGCTTTTTAATTGACTACAAAGTAATGGTATAAAGCAACAGTTCACTACCAAGTGAGTAAAATAATATGCACTTCAGAAAGATCACCTAAAAATACTACCTTCTGTTGCTAGCACCAAATAAAAGCATGACTAAGGGGGAGACAAGAAATCTGGACAGCTGAGAAACACTCCTAGTCAATGGATCCAATTCTTTCCAAATTCATACTGTTGATACACTTATCTGATCTCTTTCCCTCTTGCAAAGGCTCTAATCAAAGACTCTTTTTAGGATTTTGTTTCCCATCCTAGAACATGTTTAATTATTATTATTATTTTTGTCCATTTGGTCGAGCGTCAAGTTGAGGTTCCGGATAGGACATGTTTAATTTAATAAAATATTATTTTTGCTGTAGGGTTAGATCTGTTAAATAGAGTCAGATTGAAAATTATATATATATATAATATACACATATATATAAATAGATATAATGTATCCAAACATATCGCCCTAAAACACAATTCTAGGGTTCAACAGCAGTGCATACAGGGCTGCTCTTATTCCTAGCGAAACTGTCAGTTTACC